TTCAGATTCCTTTCGGTTTCCTATAGGTAAAATAGCCAATCAAAACTTACCTGAAGGAATATCTGTTTTTTTTACAGATTCTTTACCAGTAGTTGCAATTCCCGCCAAATTGCTTTTTAGTTGGTTAGATATTCCTTTTCAATATTTTGGTATCTATCTATTCCTCAACTACGTTCTTCAGGGAATCTCCTCTGCCTTATTGTTAAACCGTTTTACGCAGCAACCACGTTACATTATTTTAGGATCACTTTTTTTCTTAGTTGCTCCTTTAGTAAGTATACGCTCTACTGTACATCTTTCTCTGTCAAGTCACTGGGTTCTTTTATTTGGCTTTGTTCTCTTTTATAGTGAACATTGTCGAAAAACAAAAAGATTATGGACCTTATTAATTTTGGTCACGGCGGGTATTCATGCCTATCTATTACTATTTGTTTTATTTATCTGGGCGGCATATCTACTCAAATTATTATTGATTAATTTAAAAAAAAATTATTTACCGCTTTGCCGTCATGTCGCTTTTACCATAATTAGTTTGATTTTTGTGGCATGGCAATACGGTTATTTCGTCTTTGGTGGGCAATCTATGAAATTGGGTTTTGGGCTTTTTAATATGAATTTGCTGTCTCCCTTTCTTCCCCACAAAAAATACGAAACATTAACACTTAAGTATCAAGTTTTACCAACCTATGATTTTACACAAAAATGGCAGTATGAAGGATATAGCTACTTAGGAATAGGTATCCTTTGTCTATTACTCTATTCTAGCTTTATGTTTTTAAAAACACATTTTCAACACTGGAAATTAAAAGCTAAGGAACACAAACAGCTAAAGAGGTCACGCCAGCGGTCAAAAGTAAAACGTATCACGCTTGATGTTGATACACGAAAGCAAAACATAACCATTGTAATTAGTTGTTGTCTGGTGGTGTTTTTTTGGTTTTTTGCAACTATTCCTACATTTGCTGTCGGTAAAACAACACTTTGGCAATTAAGGGCATTACCTACTTGGCTGGACCCTTTTTTTCAATCATTTCGTTCTAATGGTCGTGCTTTTTGGCCAGCGTATTATTTGAGCATTTTATGGGCTATTATTTATAGTGTAAAAACAACACCAGCTGTAAAGAAATGCTTTTTTTTAATTTGTGCTGCATTCGTACTACAAGTGATTGATTTTAGTCCTTATTACTATAATCATAAAATAAAACAGCGCCAGCAGCTGTTACAACCCGTTCATTCACGAGTAAAACACACCCTTTGGGCAGAAATAGCAGCAAGACATGAGAAGATTATCTATTTCCCTGAAAGAATGACAGCCTGGGAGTGGAATTATTACCAAGATATCGTGTTGTTTAGTATAGAAAAAGATATCCCTTCTAATACCTTATATGTAGGGCGTTTGCCAGAAGACTGGCAGCAAGAGCAACGTAGAATTGCTCGAGAGCTACAACTAAACCAACTGGACTCCAAAACACTTTATGTCCTCAAGGACCAGAAAATTGTTAAAAATTTATGTCAAAGTAAAGGATATTTTATACAAAACCAAGATCCTAAAGTTATCCTTGATGACTATATCTTAATTGCCCCAAATCTTCCCAAAGAACTAATTGCACGCAATCAAATAAAAACCTGGAGATGTTTTTAAAATAGTCATATACGGTATTACTTAGAGGTCGTAATAGGTTTTTTTGCAGTCGCTAGCAGTAAAGCTCCCAATATCTTAAAAAGACGGAACTCGATATTAAATATCCGTTCACTGAATGCCCAATTCAAACTGGCGCAGAAAGGTGCAAAATGAAGAAAAGATTTTATGTCTGTTTCAACAAAACCAGTATCAGTTAATAATTTAGATAACTTTGGCTTTGTATATAGAACGAGATGTTGATCGTTGTAATCCATTGACGAAACTTTGGAAACAATCCATTCTAGAAGTGGCCAATGAGAGCGATAATTAGGTGTCGTTAGAATTAGCGTGCCGCCTGGTTTTAAACAGCTAAAGGCGTTTAAAAACATTTTTGTTGTTTGTTCTGTTGTAAGATGTTCAATAACTTCAATGACTGTAATAATATCAAATTGTTCTGGTTTGAAGCTTAAATCTCCTGCTTTCGAAGTCACAAAACAGTGGTTTTGATTCCTCTTACTATAAGTTTTAGTTGCATATTCGATTTGGGCAGATGCTAGATCGGTACCTGTATAGTTATACTCAGGAAGCATAGAAGAAAGCGTACCTGGCCCACAGCCGATATCAAGTATTTTATTACCTGCTGATTTTGTTATCAGGTTACGGACAGCCGTAAATTTTAGATGATGCCATTTTGAGCGAATACCCTTTTTTTCCTGAAATATTTTGTCGTAATAGCCTGCAGGGATTTGATCGTAATCAGATATATTTTTCATTCTGTACTCTTTTGACTTGACTCACAAAGTCATATTGGTTATTCGTAGTGTATTAAAAGATATTATTTTTAGTTATTATTTTGAATACATTGCGGTATGGTATTTATTTGTTGATGATTAGGTTATGATCCTATAACTTTAGACTAGTTAGCCTTATGATATCATCTAAATTTTACGAATTACGAATACACAATATCATTATAATGAGAATACGATAACATCTCGTAGCTCCGTTTTTTATCAAAGCTATGTTGGGTTGTCAGCAAGAAGGCCTTTTATATAATGTTAACAGTTATTATCCCTACCTATAACGAAGCCGAAAATATTGCGGCCCTTATTCCAAAATTACAAACAGTTCTTACTGACCTGGAATATCAGATTATCGTTGTTGACGATAATTCACCTGATTATACGTGGCAAATTGTCGAAAAAATGCATGACAGGGATGCACGTATTCAGGTTATTCGCCGCATTCATCGTCGTGGTTTATCTTCAGCTGTAATTGAAGGTGTACTTGCTGCAGAAATGCCACATTTTGTTGTTATCGATGCGGATTTACAGCATGACGAATCTATTTTGCCAACCATGCATAAACTTGCTCTTAATGAAGCTGATGTTGTCGTTGGAACACGCTATATGTCTGGAGGAAGTGTTGAAAACTGGGCAAAATCCCGGGTTTTTATTTCAAAGGTTGCCACAAAATTGACCCGTTGGTTTACAGGGGTACAACTTAGTGATCCGATGAGTGGTTTTTTTCTAATGCGACGCGAGTTATTTTTGAATAAGGTTGAACAATTACAGGGGAGAGGGTTTAAGATTTTATTAGAGATCCTTTCTTGTTTTCAGCCACAGGAGTTAACCATAAAAGAAGTTCCTTATACCTTTCGGCAACGGTATGCTGGTGAAAGTAAATTATCACCCCTCATCATGTTGCAATTACTGACCTTTTTGTATGAATACCGTTTTGGGAAATATATTCCTATTACTTTTACTAAATTTGTTTTTGTGGGTAGTGCGGGGGCTATTATTCATGTTATTACTCTTTTTTTCAGTTATCGTATCATTGAACTTAGCTATAGTTATTCTTTAGCTGCGGCTATCATAACTACAATTATCTGTAATTACTATTTGAATAATATCTGGACCTTTAAAGAGACAAGACTAAAACGATACCATTTTTGGCTAGGCCTGTTTAAATTCGGCTTATTATGTGGCTTTGGTGGTTTGATTGCTTGGTGGGTAAGCCTTTTTTTATTTCAAAGTGGTGTTCACTGGTTACTCGCCTCTTTGTTGGGTGCTTTGATCAGTTCATTGTGGAATTATAATTTAAATAGAATATTGACCTGGCGGTCAACAGCGACATAGATAGTATTTTTTCAATAAATATTTTAGTTCATAATATTTAGTAGAAAATTTTAAGTACTCTTATTACTATTTGATTCAGCCTTTTTTATTTATTTTTTGGAAAGGTACTAAGATTCGGTGAGTCGAAAAAAACGTAAGACTAAACAGAAGCCTGATTCAAAAAAAGATAAGCTATTGGCTACTGAATCGTATGACCTGTCATCCCATATCGCGAATCGATTTTTGATTGGTATTCTTTTATTTGGGAAGGCTTTACGGTTTTTTCGCCTAGATTTCCAAAGTCTCTGGTTTGATGAAAATACAGCGTTGTCTTTTATTCAGCACCCCTCGTTTCAAAAAGCATTAGCTGCATTTACTCAAGACGCCCATCCACCATTTTATTATAGCCTTCTCTATATTTGGGGTCAGTTGTTTGGTACCTCTGAGTTTGCGTTGCGGTCACTGTCTGCCGTGGCTGATGGTGGCGCTATCTGGGTATGTTATTGCATTGCATTTCGATTAACAAAGAATTATATAATCGCGCTAATTTGTGCGTTTTTATACGCAGGGTCTCCTTTTTTAATTTATTACGCACAAGAGATACGAATGTATAGCGTCATTACGTTATGTTCTCTCTTGGCAATACATGGTTTTTTACTGTGGCTCGAAAAGCGATGTTGGCAACATGTATTATACTGTGCTTTTTTTACCGCATTATGTATATATACCCATTATATTGGTGTTTTTATCGCGGTTGTTCAGACTAGTTACATATTAATTATTAGTTTGTTAGAAGTAGGCTTTGGGAAAAATCTGAAACAAATAAAACAGGTGCTAAAAATTAGGATAGGGCCTTTTGTTGTATTACAGTTTGTTGTCCTTTGTTTTTATGCACCAATGTTAATGAAGTTTTTCAGTGATACAAGTGGTATGATTCAGGGGGGCTTCTGGCCACGGCAGCCAGATCTTAGTTCACTTTGGCTCAACTTGCAACTGTTTTTAGGTTTCAAAATGGCACCTTGGGGATTATTGCCAATTCAATGGAAACAAACATTATGGGCTGCTTTGATTCTACTTCCCTTCTTTTTGTCGCTTGGGTATTGGTTCAGAAAAAAACAATCTTGGTTTATTCAAGCACCTTTGGGAGCAACTTCTAGCATAAAGGCAAACTTAATCAGGCCTAAAATTCTATTAATATGTTGGCTCTTGTGTCCAATTATAGTGCCTTGGTTAATTTCTCAGAGTCGTCTACATATTTATATTTATCGCATTACGATTACAGCATTACCAGCATTTTTAATCCTAATAGCGATACTGTTTGTCAAGGGGCGTGGTCCATTTTGGGTGAAGACAAGCGTGTTAGCACTTCTTTTATCCGTTGCAGCTGGCAACCTAAATGCATATTATACAATTCCTCATAAAGGGAATTGGCGTCAAGTAACAACAAAAATTAAACAAAATTGGCAACCAGGAGATATTGTTTTTGTTGGTGAAAGCGAATCTAAACCAATTATTTATCACTGTGGTCAAGATTGTTTTACAACAACGGTTATTAAAAAAATTCGGACAAAACAACCTAAACGGATTTGGCTTGTGGGATTGGCAACGCCTAAGCTACAAGCCTCTTTTAAACGTTTACAAACAGTAGGGTTTAAACGTATTGTTAAAAAAGAAGAATTTTTAGGACATGATTATCGTAAGGGTTACCTGCTGCTAATACAAAAATAATTAGAAAAGCTAGCTAGTTTTTTTTGTCATTGAATTATTTTGCAAGACGTATCGTTGCCACTCTTTTTCAAACATTAAATTTTTTGTCGATTCTAGTCGATCTAAAAAAATAATACCTTCAAGATGATCAAACTCATGTTGAAATACGCGGGCAATGAAACCTTCATATGTAGCGGTCACTTGTTCATTTCCAGTTGTAAAATAGAGAACCTCTATGCTTTGATGGCGAGGTACTAAACCACGTAGTCCTGGTATGCTTAAGCAGCCTTCCCAATCTGTTTCCATTTCTGTTGACTTCCAAGTAATGCTTGGGTTGATCATAACCATTGGGTCCATCGTCGGTGCGTATGGGTACCGCGGGTTTGGTTTTGAAGAGATGATAAATAACCTTTTAGATTGGTAAACTTGTGGAGCTGCAATGCCAACACCATTAGCATCTATGACTGTAGCCAACATGTCGGAAATTAATAATTGTAAGTCAGGAACTTGAATGGTTTCAATTTCTTGCGCAGCTTGTCTTAAAATAGGATGCCCAAGTTGAGCTATTTGTAATAGACGCGACATTATACTTCTCCTCCTTGGTTAGGTAATGAAGTTCTTAGTACGTATTCTAGCGGCTATTATCATAACGTTTGTATTTGCTAGGTATCGTAAACCTTGAAAATTAAAAATAAATGCTTATATTTCTTTACAGGATACATATAAGCTTCTTTAGCAAAAGGGTAGGTTATGACAGCAAATGGTTTAAAAACGACATTACTATTGGCGACATTAACAGGACTTCTGTTAGCAATTGGGGGTGCTATGGGGGGGGCGTCAAGGGCTACTCATTGCGCTTGTTTTTGGGGGCGTGATGAATTTTTTTAGCTATTGGTTTAGTGATAAAATTGTTCTATCCATGTATCGTGCCCAAGAAGTCGATGATACTCAGGCGCCACGACTTGTTGGTATGGTGCAACAGTTAGCACATCAAGCCAGGTTACCAATGCCCCGTGTTTATATTGTTCCTAACCAAACACCGAATGCTTTTGCTACTGGACGTAACCCCGAACATGCTGCTGTTGCTGCAACTGAAGGCCTTTTAAACCTTCTCGATGATGAAGAGCTAGCAGGTGTAATGGCTCACGAATTAGCACATATCAAACACCGGGATATTCTAATTAGTTCCGTGGTTGCCACCGTTGCCGGTGCCATTAGTGCACTAGCGTCGATGATTAAATGGGGACTTATTTTTGGTGTTAATCGCAATGGCCGCGATCAAGGTAGTAATCTTGGTACCTTAGCCATGGCAATTGTTGCGCCTCTAATTGCATTATTGTTACAAATGGCGATCAGTCGGTCACGAGAATTTGCGGCAGATGCTGAAGGCGCACGCATTGCCCATAACCCTCTAGGACTCGCGCGTGCACTACGTAAAATTTCTCAAGGCGTTGAGCGGGCTCCGATGGATGCCTCTCCGGCACACCAAGCCAGTGCACATCTATTTATTGCAAGTCCATTTCGTGGGCGTGATATGCTGGCTCTACTTAGTACTCATCCTAAAGTAGAAGAGCGTATTGAACGTTTAGAGCAGATGGCTAGGGGGGAAAGATAGGCCTAAGCCTATGTAAATAGCTCTTTTGAATCTCCCCAAATATTTCCTGGTGCCATGAGTCCCTGTGGGTCAAAAATCTGTTTTATATTACGTCCGGCTTCAAATAATTTTTTGTCTAGTAGTTTTTTTAGATAAGGTGCTTTAAGTTTTCCAACACCATGTTCTGCTACAAAGGTTCCTCCTAAATTGATGGCCTGTTGGTATAGCTGTGGTAATAACTTTGTTAGTCGTTTGTCTTCATCTGGATTGCGGGTAATAAAGTTATGATGAGGATGACCATTACCAAAATGGCCATAACGAATATGAGGTAAATCTAACAAATCGGCATCCGTTAAGATTTGGTCAACAAAAGTAAACATGTTTTGTAATTGGTTAAGAGGTACACACCAGTCTGTTGAGTGTTTTTTGCCGCCTGAGGCCGTGGCTATTTTGCCTTGGGTATTCATTAGGCTAGGAATGATCTGGCGCCAGTTATAAATATCACGAAAATCTTGAGGAGATTGAAAAATCGAAGTATGTTCTACCAAAGCATTGGCTTCCAATAAAGGAAGCCAATGGCTAAGAATCTTATCAGTCGTAACGTCGCCGGTATGCTCGATCTCCAAATAGATAGCTAGGCTGTCAGTAGGGGGAGTACTTGTCAATGACGTTGTTACAAGAGAGAGAGCAGGAGCATCAAAACCTTCTAAACAGTAGGCGGGGTAACGCTCTTGTTGGCAAGCAGCTTGTAAAAAGACAAGTAAGTCTGATAAAGATGAAAAAAAGGTAAGAATACCTGTACGTTGTTCGGGAGGGCGTATCAGACGAATCTGAATACGAGTAAAAACGCCCAGCGTCCCTTCACTTCCGATAATCAGATCAAGTGGGTTTGCTAAAAAGCGATACCCTAATGTAATTTTTTCAACCTGATTTCGTTGCCAATGTTGTTCTTGGCCTGCACCATCAAGCATATGAATAGCCTCAACCCAGCGATGTGTTGAACCATATTGATAACTACCTGGACCACTTGCATTTGTCGAAACGGTACCCCCTAATGTACAGCTGGAAGCACTGGTTGGATCTGGCGGATAATACCATCCTTCTGTTTCTAAAGTTGTTTTGAGAGTCTGTAGGTTTGTACCTGGATATATCAGTGCAGTAGCAGATTTTGAGTCCGAAGCTATATCTAAATCAATAATGCCCGTAAGTTGTGTACAATCAAGAGCAAGGCCATAGGGGGCTAGAGGGGCTCCTGTTGTGCTACTTAAACCACCAATGGGAGTAATAGCTGTCTGTGATTGTAAACAGGTGAGTACAATTTCTTTGAGGTCTTGATAATCTCGTGGACGAGCAATGGCGTCAGGAGAACCAAAGAGTCCTGAGGCATCAGTTTTATAGGATGCTAAAATATCCGTGTCAGTGATGAATTGTGTCATGTCCTAAACCAGTAGAAAAATAGTTGTTAAGGTCAGCTTTATTTATACGAACTTAGGCTTGGTAGCAAAAAGCCTTACAAGTATTTTTAGTAAGAAGCTTGCTGTCGTAGGCTGGGTATTTATAAAATATTGTTAATGATTAGAGTTCATAAAGCAAGATGAAACAAGTCAGTATATTAAGTATATGGTTGGTTTTTATACTTTGTAGCATTTTGGGGATTGCTAGCCCTGCAGAGGCAGTAAAAATTCGTGCTGACCGATGGGATTGTAGATATCAAGATTTTGACGTAGGAGTTACGTCTGAATCGCAACATGTATTATTTCCTCGTTACGACGTGTTTAGACCTCTGCTTGCTGATCCTTTTGAACCACGGTTCTCTGCTAGTCTGCGTCATACTATTTTTCGGGGAGAAAATGCTCCAAATGGTTGGCGTGGAGCAACAGCTAATGTTGCTCCGGTTGGGTTTGGTGGTGTTATTGGCCTCTGGCGTAAAGAGCTTTTTCAGACCTGCGATGGGATACAGATTAGTTTAGCCGGAGGTGCTTATGCACAACTAATTGTACAAGGCCCTAAACCAGGACTTATCAATACAGATTATATTATTGGTTTACCGATCACGTTCCGTAAAGGTATCCACTCATTTCGGTTAAATATTCTCCATCAAAGTAGCCATTTAGGGGAAGAATTTGTTGTCGCAAACCTTGATATTCCAATGGATAATCTTAGTCTGGAGGCTATCGAATTTATCTATTCTCTTCAACAGGATTGGTGGCGTGTTTATGCCGGAGGTAGTGTTTTTTTTCGGCGTCGTCCTAAATATAAACCATTAGGGTTTCAATTTGGAGCAGAACTGAGACCCTATTATTGGTACGCCAAGCAGATGCCAAATACGCGGTTTGGGCTTGTCGCAGGCGTAGATGCTCAGATATTACAACAGCGGGATTGGAAATTTACGACTAGTGTGAAAGTTGGAATAGAAAGCTTTTTTTTAATTGGAGGTACGTTTAGGATCTTATTAACATCCCTTAGTGGCTACTTGCCTTATGGCCAATTTTTTTACAAGGAACGTCTGCAAGATATCGGAGCTGAGCTGCAGTATGAGTTCTAGAAATTAATTGTAGAGTTTCGGTAACATTCAAATTTTATAAAATTTTTGAGTAAATAGACTAAAAAAACTGAAAGATTATATGCGATCAAGATGCCAGTCAAAATGTTTTATTTTCTTGTTGATAGCCAGTTTGTTTTTAAGTGTTGTTTCTGAAAAGTCCTATGCCAGGACAACACAAGAGCGTGTAGAATTAGCTGGGGATGTCTTTCAATATTTATTACCGGTATCGATCAGTGGCCTAACATTACTTTTTCGTGATTACCAAGGAACCGGCCGTTTTGCACTTGCTTTTACAACAGCAATGGCCTTGACTTGGACATTAAAACTTGCTATTAACGCCAAAAGGCCAAATGGTGGACGTTATTCGTTACCTTCAGGCCATACCGCAACCGTTTTTACCGCAGCAGGTTTTGCCCAGCGACGTTATGGTTGGGCAGTTGGAGTTCCTTATTATGCCGCTGCTGTATATACTGGCTGGAGCCGTGTTTATGCACAAAAACACTTTACGCGAGATGTTGTAGTTGGGGCTGCAATTGGTATGTTGACCTCGATTATTTCGACAACACGGTTAACGGGAAGAGTACGACTTCTTCCGTTTTCAGGACGGTCTACTTATGGATTAATGATAGAGCGCGATTTTTGAAGTATAAATAGACAAAAGATGCTTGTGTCAAAAAATTATTTTTTGTTAATAGGAAGCGTATAAATAAGGGTTAAGACTTCTGTTCCTGGGTTACGGTTACCTGCACCTGCATTAGAAAGATGGTGAAAACCTATACCAAGATAATCACCATTTTTAAAAGCATAATAAAACTCGACCCCACTGCGAAATTCAAGCTGGTAGCCTAAGTCAAGATCCTGTCCTTGTCGATAATAACCAATTGCTGTATTCAAGGAGAACATAAAAGGGCGGCGTTCAGATTCTAGCTCTGAGCGGATACCAAGATAAGGATACACACTTCCTTGAAAGCTTGTTTGAAGACCAAGTGCTGGTCGTAATGTGTACCAACGGCAACAGGGGCGATATTCAATATTGACCAGACCTGTAATAGGGCGATGGATGGTATTGATAACATCATGAAAGCCTAAACCTACCGCAAGGTAATGTACCTGTGGTTGGTGTGTTTTTAAAGCTCTTGCTGTTATCGGAATACTAATAGTAAATACTAGTAAAGATAAGATTAATAATGGATATAGCTAAAATAGCTATATCCATTATTAACTATTAATTAACTGGTCCCGTTGGTTGTGGAATGGCAGGTGTCCGTTCGGGAATCGGACCAAACATCTGTTCATAACGCTGTAGGTTTTGTTGCATAGCCTGCAATAGCCGTTTATAGTGGCCAGGTGTGAGAATAACACGAGAGCGAACTTCAGCTTGATTGCCTCCTGGTTGAACAAAAATAAAATCTAGCATAAAGTCGTCAGGGCTATGGTTAACCATAGCTAAGTTTGCGTAAATACCAGTTGCTATCTCTTCTGAGATACGGATTTTGAGCTCACCTGTAGATGTCGTTTTTTTTGTCTCTTTTGGAGGGGTATCAGACATTTATTAACTCCTTTTATTTTACTCAGGCCGCCAGGTAGGCATACGAGCATCTCCTGGTAAATTAGTTATTTGCTTTAGCTCTTTTAAATAGAGATCAGTTTTCCAAAGGTCATAAGAATTATTAAGGCGTCGGCTAAAAATTACAGTACGGTTGTCAGGAGCCCAGGCAGGTGATTCAAGACTCTCTCCAAGATCCGAGGTTAACGGTTGTAAATGATTAGTCGCAAATGTGTAAAGCCAAAGAGCATAGCCTGTGCCGCGGTCTTGGCGAATAAAGACAAGGCGTTTACCGTCTGGAGACCATTTTGGTTCACCTAAATAACGTCCTGCTCGTATTAGTGGTGTCGTGCGTTTTGTTTCTAAATCAAATAGGTAGATATAAGGGTTCCCTCGTCTATCTGATACAAATACCAGTTGTTTCCCATCTGGAGAAATAGTTGGAGATAA